TACTATCAGAATTGGGCTATGAACTTAGTTTCTCCAAGATAGTAGTTCCTTGAATAAAGGACTGTTTAGGGGTCTAATTTGTCTCATTTTAATGAGAATAGGAAGTTGAACTACACAGGGAAAAACTGTTAATCAGCTTTCTCACTGGTGGAACTATCAGTTTCCATTGCTGAGTTTTGTTGCTAGGGATGGCAAGTCTAGGGCAGAGAAACAGTGTGGAAGTGTTTATTATTATCACTTAATGGGTACAGAGGACATTTTAGCAACTTGCTGTATCAAAAGAGTAATAAATGGTCGCAAAATATCAGCAACGACATGCTGCTTTAGAGTGATTCGTGAAATGATATCAGATAAATTGATCAAAGTGGGCCCTTGCAGGCTGTACTGCTCTCAGTAGGTTTTGGTCTCTGCCTGTCTCTGATTGAAGCAAGTTTGTGTGTTTATGCACTTTGGTAACTGCTGAAAATTTCTGAACCCTGTGGCCTTTGTTGATCATTTCCTTTTTCATGATATAAAAAATAGAAGATATTAGAGTGAAAATTTCAGTGCGTCAAAAGCTATGCATGGGTTGCTTAGATAATGCTTTTGCAAGGAAAGCAGGCTGTTTCCACTCAGCTCTAGAAAGTTTCTCACTGTAACTACCCACTTCTTGACAAGGAAAGTCATTAATGTCCAGGATGACTTAACAGGTCACTTAAGGCAGCAGGCTAAAGAGGTAGCCACCCTTCTGTTGTCTCAGTCTGTCTACCCCAGAAAGAAGCGATGGGAGCACCTAGAACAACCAGGGGTGTGTATGTGCTTCTTTAATGAAGCACAGAGTAATGAATACATGGGAGTCCTGTTTACACTGTGTGGTGGGTTGACCCTGGCTGGATGCCAGGTGCCCACTAAGCTGCTCTGTCACTCCCCCTCCTCCTCAGCTGGACAGGGGAGAGACAATATAGCAAAAGGCTCTTGGGTCGAAATAAGGACAGGGAAAGATCACTCACAAATTACTGCCATGGGCAAAACAGACTTGGCTCAGGGAAATTAATTTACTGGCAATCAATTAAGAGCAGGGTAATGAGAAATAAAATCAACGCTTAAAAACACCTTCCCTGCACCCCTCCTTTCTTCCCAGGCACGTGGAATGGGGGTTGCAGTCAGTTCATCACGCATTGTCTCTGCTGCTCCCTTTTCCTCAAAGGGAGAACTCCTCATACTCTTCCCCTGCCCCAGCCTGGGAACCCTGCCATGGGAGACATCTTTCCATAAACTTCTCCAACGTGAGTCCTTCCCATGGGCCGCCGTTCTTCATGACCCGCTCCAGTGTGGGTCCCTTCCACAGGGTGCAGTCCTTCAGGAACAAGCTGCTCCAGTGTGGGTCCCTCACGGGGTCACAAGTCCTGCCAGCGAACCTGCTACAGCATGGGCTCCTCCCTCCATGGGTCCATAGGTCCTGCCAGGAGCTTGATCCAGCATGGGCTCTCCATGGGGGAGCAGCCTCCTGTGGGCGCATCCACCTACTCTGGCGTAGAGCCCTCCATGGGATGCAGGTGGATATCTGCTCCGGACCTGGAGCACCTCCTCCCCCTCTTTCTTCACTGACCTTGGCATCTGCAGAGTTGTTTCTCTCATGTATTCTCACCCCTCTCTCCCGGCTGCTGTTCCGCAGCAAGTTTTTTTCCCCTTCTTAAATATGTTATCACAGAGGTGCTGCCAGCATCACTGATGGACTCAGCCTTGGCCAGCGACAGGTCCATCTTGGAGTCAACTGGCATTGGCTCTATCAAACATGAGGGAAGCTTCTAGCAGCTTCTCACAGAAGCCACCCTGTAGCCTCAACACTACCAAACGTTGCCACGCAAACCCAATACATTCCACCCCTCGCCCCTGTGAATCACATATTTAAAAATTATCATTAAAATCCACATTGATCACACTATCTTCACAATCTTCACTCGCGTCAACAAAAAGAATTCCCCACACCACGATCAAAACGACATCATCACAACACTGAATGGAAGTGGACAATTTACATACACTCCGCCCCTTGTCCCTTCACTGCAATTAGAACAGAAATTCCCCACAATCATTCCGCTCTTTGCTCTCTAGCAATGTTCAGTCAACGTTTTGCCCATTACCTCTCCAAATTACGATCCTTACCTTTAATTCCTAATGCCATGTTGGGTGCCAAAAAGGGCTGTGGTGGGTTGCCCTTGCCTGGATGCCAGGTGCCCACCAAGCAGCTCTATCACTCCCCTCCTCAGCAGGACAGGGTGGGGAGAAAAGAAGATGGAAAAAAACCTCGTGGGTCAAGGTAAAGGCAGTTTAATAAAGTGAAAGCAAAGGCTGTGTGTGGAAGTGAAGGAAAACAAAAGATTTATTCTCTACTTCCCATCAGCAGGCGATGCCCAGCCACTTCCCAGGAAGCACGGCTTCAGTACTCATCGTGGTTGCTCCAAAAGACAAATGTAATAATGAATGCCCTCGCCCCGCCTTTTCTCTTAGCTTTTGTTGCTCAGCAGACATTGTATGATATGGAATATGCCTTTGGTCAGTTTGGGTCGCTGTCCTGGATATGTCCCCTCCCAAGATCTTGCCCACCCCCAGCCTACTGGGTAAGGCCGGGGGAATGTTGGAGAGACGGCCTTGATGCTGTGTGAGCACAGCTCAGCAGTAGCCAAAACACTGATGTGTTACCAACACCTTTCTAGCTACCAGGTGGTTGGGCTAGAGACCTCCCAAGGTCCTTTCCGACCTACCTGATTCTGTCACTCTAAATAGTGTTTTATACTGGCAGCTGCATATTGTGAAATTTTTATGATATGTAGATTAACTTTGCTTTTAGCAAAACAGTGAAAGGCACCAAGTCTGCAAACGCGTGGTTAGCTTTGTGTGCAGCTAGTCGTAAGTTCAGCGGGGCTTTTGCATTTACGAGCATGTGAATTGATTGCTGGAGCTCCAGCACGGTGCTGAGATGTTAATAGACAAGAGCTCCTACTGTACTTACCTGCATGTGATAACCTCCTTTTTAGTGTTTTTGTCCAAGGGCTCTCCATATAATCCTGTGTTCTGAAGTAACTGCTTAATATTGTATGTGGCATCCAGCTCATAACCTAGCATTCACATATCTGAGTGATGAAACGTTGATGCTGTTTGAAGTGATAAATGTGCTGGCTCAATATGTTTGGCAAGGAAACCACAATTAACTTCAACTGTAATTAGTTTCTCTTTCCAACCTCCCAGCATGATAAAGTGTCCTTTTCATTTATCCTGTAGTGTTCTACTAGTATAGAATAACAACATTCACAAGTAGTTATTTTTCTCTTACATTTTTGATGCCTTCTGGAGTGTGGAAAAAGTAGAAAATGTTTGTTAGAAGGCAATCCTATCTGGAAAACTTTCAGCAGTCTTGTCAGTTTCATTTCTCCCCACGCAAATGAGTTGTGGCATTTCAGGAGATCTCGTTTTTATGGGGGATGGACTCTAGAGCAGCATGGTATTAATTGTGTTATTCTGAGAAAAAGACTGACAAAACCAAGAATCAAACTCTGATCTTTTTTTGTCCCCAGTGCAGTACATAGCTGCCTCACTTATTTGCTCTAGTGGTACCTCAGGAGCCATGCTTATTCATGGAAGTAGAGATTCTAATGGTGTATTTCTAGTAGGACACGGATACTAAGTCTGCTTCCCTCTGTACAATGGATGCTTTCACGTCAGTCCCCAGGAATGTCAGTCCCCAGGAGTGCCTTTCTCACAGGCTAGACAATGCAGGTTTATCCAGTCTGTGATAAGATTAGATAAACTGTGGCATGAAGAAGCTAGGAAAGTGAACACCCTGCCCACATCTCATTTGGATGTCAGGATAAGGTCAGCACCACCCCTTGATTGGTGCTCTGATTTTCATAGTAAGAAAACCTGGGTACACAGCTATGGAGCATTCTATCAGGTCAGCTTACCTGAAGGGCAGCAAAATGAGGACTGAAGGCAGACAGAGCTTTGGAGCTACATGCAAAGGGAGGAGTGTGGATTGCTGCAACTAGAGCAAATATTGGGGTTTCAGAGCAAATACTGGGTCTTCAGTGAAGTTGTTATAGGTTTATTGGGAAATTCGCTTGAAACTCCATTAAGTTTGTCATAATGCTATCAAAAAGTTGGTTATATAGTGTATGCTGCTCTTTCTGTGGAAGAAATGACTATTTTATTGCGTATTTTTCTTTATTAGTACATAGATTCAACAGAGCTTGAACGTTCTACAGAAGCGGAGAATTCAGTGAAATATCACCAGGCATGGCACAAACTGTGCAAAGCAGAGTAAGTGGCATTGGGTATTCTGTATGCCAAATGCAGACCGTGATACTCATTTCGTGTTATGAAAACGGCTTCAGTAAATCATTTCTTAGTGCATCCAGACTTCTGTTACTTACATAAAGGGATAGATGTGCATGGTTGGTGATGAGCTTCAGATATAGCAAATTATAGTATCAGCCTGTATCCTCAAACTCAATCTCTTTAGACAAGTTGCAGTTGTTTGGGGTTTTTTTTGTTGTTTTGTTTTTATTTTTTGGTGGGTTTTTTTTTGATAGGTAGACTTTCCTTACAGTGCAGGTCAGTTGTCAAAAACTTTTCTTTGTCAGCATGCATTATAGTGAAAGGTAGTTAGATAAAAGCTTAGTAAATGTTGGTGACACTCTGCAAACGTTTCTGCAAACATCTCTGTTGAGAATCATTGCTGGGATTTCAATTCGTATTTGTAAAGGGATGTTGTTGGTTGTCAAAATGCATTAATTTCTTCACTATTTGTTAGTAGACATTTTTGTGCCAAGATCCTACAGTAGTTAATATGTAGCTAGTTTATTTAAGCAACACGTGTTTAAGCAATCGGAATTTTTCTGTGAAGTATGAGGTTGGTCAGATGAGAATTGGGGTGGGTAGATGAGACAAATATCTTAATTTAGAGTTAAATTCTGAGTCTTCTGAATGGTCATACAAAACATGCTTTTCGTGCATTGTGCTTGCTTTGTTTTAACCTCAAAAGTCTTTCTTCAGTTTGTATGGACTTTCTTTACTGCCTTGATTCTACATGTGGGTTGCTTTGTATATACCTGTCATTACAGTGGCATTCTGGTCCCAGGAGGGTTTGGAATTAGGGGAACAGAAGGCAAACTCCAAGCTATCTCCTGGGCAAGAACAAAGAAAAAACCTTTTCTTGGTAAGATCATTAGAGTCAGAAATTATTGTGTTTTGGAGGTGTATAGCAAGCTAATGGATAGCAAGCTAATTGATTTCATTTTTAAAAAAACCCAAGCAAATAGAACAAGCGCACACTAGGGAAGGATCTTGTCTCAAGGTAGTACATGTGCTGTTGTGAATATTTGCCTTGTAAATAATGTCCAGGGTCATAGTCATGTACTACATCTGCTGTGTAAGGAAGGAAGAAAAAGACTATCCCTAGTCCAAAGGTTTTATTTGCTATATTCACATTTTATGTGGAGAGTCTTTATGATAAAGTCTAAAGATGCCATCTGGCCTATAAGCTAAGTGCGGTTTGTATAAGTGCCTTTGAAGCTTTGGTTCCTACTGCACATTTCTTACAATTTTATAAGTGACTACTGTTATGAGCTGCCAAAGCAAAATTTGAATCTGGATATACACAGGCTTTCAGCTTCTGTTTGTCTTTATTTTTTATTGGTAAAATAGATGGGAGGAAAAAAAATTGAAAGGTCTTAAAGCACATAATTGTGTCAGATGTATTTACAGTGTGCCAAGTGTGAAGAGTGAATTTTGCATTGAGCAGCTATTTTTGTTTCACCTTTTTGGTAAGTCTGTGTACATCCACTGAGTACCAAGATTTCTAAGCAGTCAAGTTTAAGACAGAACAGCAAGTACTTTGCCAGTCCTGTTCTTTGTCCTGTTAAATTCTGGGGGTTTTGTTTTCTCTTCTAGGAGTTTGCCTGGGAATGCAGTTAGCAGTTGTGGAATTTGCAAGAAACTGTTTAAATTGGAAAGGTGAGCTCAGTATGCTAGTGTGAATATGATTCGCTTAGAAGAAATTTTATTCTGTATGTGAAATGTATATCTGTTATTAGAACTATTGTATAGATCCTGTGATCATTAGGTACTTAGATCTTGCAAGATGATAATTTTCAGCTAAGCACCCTGTGCTACCTTTCTGTACAGGGGAGTAGGAACTCTTATTATGCAGATTGCTTGAAACCTGCTTCTTGATCTAAGGAATGTAGGAGAAGTTCACCTCTGTAGTCTCTTTCTGGAGTGGGCAGGTGGTGAGGAGTAAAAAGCGAGAAGTGGTTTCCTCCCTTGCTTTCATTAGTTGGACTAGCCAAACCATAGCCATTGCAGTAGTAATATGAAGAGATTTAGCTCACCAATGAATTTCTACCACTAACAGCTGAGAGGAAAAGGTTTTCGAAAGTAGGAAAGGGAGCGTGTGTGACTGAGGTCATATGCTTCCTGTGGTTGCTTCAAAAGTGGTGCGGTATGTGTTTCAACACGCAAGATTGTAGCTTCAATGCAGACAAGCCCTAAAATGCTGCAGAACTGTTATGATGAGTTTGTAGTGCTTGTAGAACAATGGAAATGTATTGTGTTTGTTTTGAACTCCTGTTTCAGATGCAAACTCTACAGAATTTGACCCAGACACAAAAAACCCTGTTGTAAGTACTGATTTTTTTTCACGCATATGTTTTGTGAACATAAATTGTTTGTTAAAAAAGGGAGTTACCTCTGTGTAAGTTAAGGTCTGTCTATATTTTTACATGGTAAAAGAGGTGAAGGGGTGTCTGCTGTCCCTATTCAGTGTTGTTTAAAAAGGTGTTTTCTTTTAAAAGTCCATTGCCTTCACCTGCTTGCTTCTGTGGTTTGCCTTAGCTTTATTTTTGTAATTTTTCTAATAGTTTGCTTTGCTGTAGACTGATTCTGGGAGTAGGCAATAATTATTAAGTTGGCTTTACTGGAGAATAAAATACAAAGGGAGGCTGGAAAGCTACTATCAAAATAGAAATTTGTATAAAAAGATAAGGATTATATGGAAAGCTGTTGAAAAATTCTTGTCTTTCCTTTATATAAATAGTATAAGTAACCACTACAGCCCTCCTCCCCATGCATCTCACAGCCGTCCTTTTGAGAAAAATTTCAATGTTGTAGATATAACAGGGTTCTCTGTATCATATGCCAATGGCAGAATTTTAGAACAGAGTTCTTCCAGGTATTTCCTGGTTCAGGAGAGTATGGTGTCCCATTCTCTGAATAGTAACTTAAAAAAGATCAGTAAGAGAGGATTTTTAAGAAAATAAAAAAGAACAGAAAACTACGTGTGAGAAATAAAGTGGTATCTTGGTGTAAGATGTAAACATCTGTTTTAACGATAAATTAAGTGTGCTGCTCGTAGTGACCCACTGTTTCTGTATCAATTTCCTTCAAAAGGGTTTTGTTGGGATTTGTAAGTAAAATGCATTTTTTTCCACACCTGCTTAGTCTGAAACATGCAAATAGGAAGTTTGTAAAGTGTTTGACCTCTTTGTCAAGGTTGTTTATATGCCTATCTTTATACGCATATACATCTATTCTGAACTTTCGAAGGTAAATTAGACACTTTCAGAGTTTTGGTGTGAGACTTGTTGCTAAAACTTGGTGGCATTTGGAAATGTCCTCAGGTGAACAAAGGTAAACTTTGCATTTGGCATCAAATTTGTGGGTTTGCCATCGTAAGAGGTCTTTTCCTTCTCCCTTCTTGAATGTACGCGAAGACATACTCTTTCTCTGGAGGGATCAATTTCATGATAGCAATATGTTGTAAAATGAGGAAGATGTTGAAAACTTACTGAATTTTTTTGGGGAAACAAGAGGGGTAGTACAGAAGACTGATTCTGAGGCATCTTTGTTTCTAGGGCTTTTTAGTGCCAGTTTAATTTAACTTCTCCTGACTGCATTTCAGCTAGTCACCTCAGGTACCTTTTCAGGATGCAGTAAGATCATCAGGATGGGGTGTGTCACCCTTTGGAACTGCTGGTTTCCTAGAATCATAGAATCACAGAATGGTTAGAGTTGGAAGGGACCTTGAAGATCATCTAGTTCCAACCCCCCAGCCATGGGCAGGGACACCTCCCAGTAGACCAGGTTACTCAAAGCCCCATCCAGCCTGGCCTTGAACACTTTGAGGGATGGGGCCTCTGCAACTTCTCTGGGCAACCTGTTCCAGTGTCTCACCACCCTCATAGTGAAAAATTTCTTCCTAATACATGATCTAAATCTACCCTTTTACGGTTTGAAGCCATTACCCCTCGTCCTATCACTACATGCCCTCTCCAGCTTTCTTGTAGATGCCCTTTAGATACTGGAAAGCTTGTATAAGGTCTTCCTGGAGTCTTCTCTGGGCTGAACAACCCCAGCTCTCTCAGCCTGTCTTCATAGGAGAGGGGCTCCAGCCCTCTCTCTGATCATCTTCGTGGCCCTCCTATGGACCCGATGCAACAGGTCCATGTCCTTTCATTGGGGGCTCCAGAGCTGGGCACAGTACTCCAGGTGGGGTCTCACCAGAGTAGAGTTGAGGGGCAGAATCACCTCCCTCAGCCATTATTCGAAGGATTGCTCACAGAAGCTGGCTCTGATGCAGAGCTCCACACTTAGCTGAAGTCAGGAACATGGATGCTTGTCTGCTGCAGCCCTATTGGCAGTTTCTTCTATTACAGAAATGGTAGTGTGCATTAGTACAATATATCTAGGACAAAATTTTATTCCACAAGTAATTAACTGAGTGATTTGCAGTTTGCATTCAAGGGCAAGTAAGGTATATATGTTAAAGAGAAAATTATGTGTACATAAAATTAAGAAAATAATGGAGTGAATGTATGTGTCATAGAAGATTAATACAGTGTTTGCAAGTGAAGCAGTATACTTATAGTACGTATAATGAATATTCTTTTGTTCTGAGCTACATTAAGGTTCTGAAATTGGTTATTACCAGTCATATTTTAGCATCTTAATCTGATCTTTGACATCTCAATTCTCGACGAGAAACAGATGTAAATCATTCCAAAGGGGGAAATTTGCACTATCAATAATTATAGCTGCTAAATAATCTGTCTTAGCAGAGTCCATCTTGTGCTAAAAACTGTTTAGGTTTTCTATATAATAACAAATCAATAAAAAGGATAGGAAGAGAAATGGATTGATGAGTCTTGTGAACTACTTGATGTAGATGTTTCATTGTCCAAGAAAGTTAAGTGGAAACACCGTATCAGCACCGATAATACTTTGTGATACCACTGTGTGGTTCAACTGAGTGCTAACTTAGGACCAAAGCAGTGTACTTTTCTTTTCGTTCCTGCTCCTTTGGAAACTGAAGAGGGAGAAGAAAGGCACTGGTGAGGCAGTACTTTCATTTTTTAAGAAAAAGGGAAAAAGGCAGAAATTCAAATATGTAGTTTGGCAGGGGAACGCGAGGGCAATCAAAATATGCATCCCTTCTTAATTTGCTGAGTATTCAGATACCCAGAACTGGGCTCACCAAAGTTGATAGTTTCTTCTCAAGTACCTATAAAATGTCTTGGTCTATTTTGCTTCACTTTTGTCTGCCTTTATGGAAATTTGAACCTTTTTTATTAGAAATAAAAACTGAGATTGTCAAGTAATCATGTAACTCTGAATTAGGATTCCAAAGGAAAAACAGGTTGCTGAAATAATGAGAAATGATATTACTGGCAACTGTCTCAATTAAAATAACACAAGTTATTGTACTACAGAAGAGCATTGTCTGCATTAGTAACAAGTTTTGAGCAGAGTAAAAGTTTTTTATGTGATGAAGCAATTGTGACTTGTTCTGTTTTGAACAATAACGAATGCACAACTGAACGTGCAAATGTGGAGAGTTGCCTGCAGTGCTGAATATCTGTTTCATTTTAGCTGTTCACCTGTTTATACTGACAATCATTACAACAATGTTGCTCAACCTGGGTTCTGCAAAAGCACCCATGAGGAATTTTATATAGGAGGGAAACCCTGTGTAACCCTGTATTGCTTGTTTTGGGTAATGCTGATATCAATTATATTGGCGTGTAAATGACTGCAAGTATTGTCGAGTTAAGATTTCAAATACCTTGGTAAAAATAGTAGTCTCTTAATTCCAAAAATGGAAGTTAGTGACTTAAAAATGTAAAACAGTGAAAATTGTTTTGAAAGTACTGTAGGGGAAAAAAAATCCTAAAGCTGAGTATCTATGTGATGAAAATGAGACCTAGAATTTGAAAATATTAATAAGATGTGATTTATACGCTGTGTTTGAGAGATTTTAAGTTGCTATTAGATATTTTCATTTAGTCTTAAGTTAAAAATGTGTACTCTGAATCAAAAAAAAAAAAAAAAAGACCTCCGATACGGCAGTTTCTGTATTCACCAGGCCATACCATTTACACTGTCAAAATACCACCGTAAGGTTTTGGCTTCAATTCTTCTTTAACACAGGTTTGATTTCAGGAGAGAAAATGAGGGAGTTACATGAGCACTGATCAAAGCCCCTCAAGTTCTTGATCTCATCTTGGTTGAAAATTTCCAGGTCTCATTCCCATTTATCTTCTTAAGTTTTCTGCTTTACTTTCTAGCCTTTTGGATAATAATGATAGGTAAATTGTTATTGTTTTTGTAGGAAGATAACTGTTCAGAAAAGTAATGCATTTGCCTGACAGTAGTGCTTAGTATGAGTTTTCTGTTGCCAATGGTAATTTTAAAATTAACTCTTTAAAGGGAAACTATAGTCTGTGAACTGCTAATGAACTGGATTCACTGGGTGGCAAAAGAGTTATTTGTCTTCCTCTACTATTAAACTTAGATTTATTTTTTTGGATGAGCCTTTTAATAATGTTCTTTGTCAACTTCATTGCAACTGTGTCTAATACTGTTCTAGAAAAAAAAAAAAGACTTTCCAGAAATAATTCTAATGCACTTTTTTTTTTTTTAATTTAAAAAAGCTAATTTTAATTGTGACCGTTGTTCTTCATGACCTATTACATCTTGTGTAGGATCATGAAACTTTAGATATTGCACCAGGTAAAGTAAGTGCGTTCTCTATGAACTCAAGAAATTCTGCAGAAATAGATTTTGCCAGTAGGTGACACTCTTATAACATGTTTGTTTCTTGATGCCCACTTTTCCTATTCAGGATGTCAGTAACCTGACTGAATTAAAAAATTTCTAAGGTTGTCTAAAAGTTGAAAAGGAATGTATTTCCCACTTATGCCAAAGCACCTCTTAAAATTCTATGGGTGTACTTATGGATGTAAAGTAGCTAATGTAGCTTAGTAAGCAAATGTGTGTGGAGTATATTTAGATTTCAAATCAAAGCATATTGTTAATTTAGAATACTTTTTTTCATAAACCAGAAAAAAGTAGTGAATATTATGATTTTCTTTTCTTCCAAGAACCATAACAGATTTTAACAGCTGAAAGGTTTGTGTAAAAGAATGGCCCAGGAGCCTGTTAGAACATTCATATCACGTTTAAATATCATAATTTTTGAGGCTTCTATTCATACATCACTGGTGTAGAGTACTTTATTCCTCATTTCATCGAGGGGAAATTCAGGGACAGAAACCGCTGTAGTATGGGATCTTGAATGCACTTCATAGGCTTTGCAATTAAGTTGAGTCTTAAGTCCTTAGGT